ATTAATCGGGGGCGTGCTCGTGCTCGTCAAACCATCACGGTATCGAGTCACGCCTTCATGCTTTCTCACACAACGAATCTCTCTGAATCCTCACCAAAAGCCTCTCACAACCAAGGAAAATATGTAGAAAGTTCCTGTTCATCCGCATCTCATCTCTGCAATATTCGTACGTACGTACACANCATTTTGTTTTCTTTTTCCGAGTGGTTTGTATCCTATTTTTGTTTTTTGTTTTCTCGCGGCGTCGTATGTGCCGGGTTTTGAGACCACGGGCTCCCCATTTTTTGTGGACTATAGAGCTAATGTGAGAAACAACAACAACAACAACAACATAACATCTCAACCATCATACTATGCTACGAGTATATCGAATATCTCCCACAAGCAAAATAGTACGTCAATCACTCATGATTCAATGATGTATCATGGTGTTCTTGTGACTACAAGTGCAAAAAATATTCGATACACCCATGGGCACGCGCATAAGCCATGCATCCACACCGTTTTTTACCGACAGAACCACCCAACCAAGAGCGACCTAGGCCCACACAACCTAGCACCTACTCACGTCAACACCAACCTAGCACCTATCCAAGCCATACCAACCTAGGTCGATCGCATATATGCCAACCTAGCACCTATCCATGCCATACCAACCTAAAGATTATCCCATCAATACCAAGCTAGCGCCAAATGCCGGCACACCAACCTAGAACTCAGCCACTCAGCGCCAACCTAGCCCCAATGCCGGCACACCAACCTAGAACGGAGCCACGCAGCGCCAACAACCTAGCCCTAACTCAGGCATAACAACCTAGAACTGAGCCACCCAATGTCAACCAAGCACCTATTGGGTCGGGTTGGGGTTAGGGTTAGGGTTTGCGTTAGGGATTTAGCCGGGTTCATGTAGTTGCTGCTTGGAGGGACAGAAAACTGCGCCTGCCTGCTTGTAGTAGAGCGACAGGTTGAAAAACAAGAAAACGCGTACATACATGTTCATGACGCTCGGTCCTCACACAGGATTTCCGTCGGTAAAAAAGGTGCGGGTGCATGGCTTATATGCGTCCCTGCGCGTGCATTATCTTTATTGGACAAACGCAAGTTCGTTCGCCCGGGGGTGTTTCGTTCTTGCCGAAAGAGCGGGACTAAGCTACCGGTCCGCTTGGTCTCCTTCATTGGGGTGTGATCGTGCGTACTTCTGTGGTATATAGATCATCAGGGAGCACGATTGGCGAGATTGTTGACAGCGTGGAAGATTTCTGACAGCGGGGAGTCCCTCGCCACAAACAGTGCATACGCACT